GGGGGGGGGGGGGGGAACGTGAGTCAAGTCAGTGGACATGCAAATCAGGCGCCATATGCAGAGGAAAAACAAAATTCAAAAAATGGTCCTCGAAGAAATTCGGCACCCGAAAGTTTTGAAACGTGTAGAATTTCCGAGTAGGCAAAGTTACGAGCAGAATTACGCAACTTTTTTTTTTCGGCAAAAGAACTTTTTTTTTCATGATAAATTGATTCGACGGAGCTCGTGTGTTGAAGTACAGTATAATTATCTTAGGTCTATATGCCCAAGTTTGCGAAATGAATGCATCCCAAGGAACATCTTATTCCGACCTTTCATCATATAAAGACACTACAGGCGTTTTATTTTGTATTTCCTTGCCAAACCCTATTTCGTTATCGTAAATTTAATTCAATTTTCATTTTTTTCACTGTTCTTCTGGAACAGTCCCTGAAAAATTCTTAAGGAACCTTTAGGGCTCTGCGAAGAACAGATTCTGTACACATTTGCTGTAATTCTAAATATGAGGTGCCGAGGGTTAAAATTTGAGAATCAGCACCCAGTCATCGTATCATTTTTCCACTTATTACAGCGTGTGTCAATCATTAGGCGCAGCAGGTAATGAAAAAATACATACTATCTATTTTTTATATACAGTAATGTATATCTCTCTCTCTTTTCGCCTCCTTTACTCTGCAATTTATTTCAGGAATTATTCACGTTCAAGCAAGATCTTTGGATAACGGTTGTATCTTATGCTTATACAGGCGGTAAAACAAAGATTTTGATTTTGATGCGACTGTGTCAACTTCAACTTCAAATTTAAATTACTCATGCCTACTGAGGATCGTTGTGCGTAGTTTCTCCCGAAATTATTCACTGCCATATATTTTTGAAATAATATTGTTTTTAAAATATTATTTGTGGAAAAACATGATTTATTGAAATACTTGGGAAATAGATAAGTGGTTAAAGAACGAGACAAGGTTTTATTTAAAGCTCATTAAATGAATGCGGAGGTAAAAATCCGTAAAATTCATTAAGTGGATGATGAGCTTAAAGCATCAGTAATTACTAATCAGTTCAATCACAGGATTGAAATGGATGAATGAAGTCTCTATTTCCAACGTGAAAAACAATACTGTTCTTCAGAACTTTCGAGAAAGCCCGCGCTGGGAACTTAACGATGCATTTTTCAGTCATCAGTCAAAATTTTGCTTTTAAATGTCACATTTTAGTGTCAGGGTGAGCACTTATCTCCACGTTTACTACGACGTATATTTGAGCTTGGAAACCACCATAAAAATGATATTTTTCAAAAGTTCGATTTTAGAATGTCAAGGCTGATATACGCATTTCGAGTAGCATTATTTCTTGAGCTTTTTCTGGAATGCATTCCTGGCACGTGGAAGGCAATGAACCCAACCGGTTGAGAGATAAACCATTCCCTTCAGATGTAGTAAATAAGGCATGAAACCCCTGCAAAAAATACAGCAACAGTCGTCGTTCTTTAAAAAAAATTATTTGATATTTTAAAATATAAATTTTCCTTCTCAATTTTCCTCGGGTCTTTCATAGTGTGCCTACTGAAATTAATCACAGAATCATTGGTTCCACGTTACTCAGAAATGTAAATTTTTTTTGCCAATGTACTTGAAATTAGCATACGAATGAATAACCGACAATCGGTAGCATACTTTTAAAATTTTGGAATGCGTTTATTGAATATCATCTCCAACATTTTCCTTTTGCGAATAATTTATTCTCACATTTCAAATTGACGACACCATCCAAAACGGGTAAAAAGGTATCACGATTTTTCTTTTACTTGCATAAAAACAATCACGCGCAGAAAACAGGTTCATATCATCTCGTCACAGCAATGTCAACATCCAGAGCAGCAAATAAATCACATTTAATTATCTCAACAAATGATCACGTGGGAACGAAGAAAGTATCATCCTTCTTGGCCGAGTTGTCAATTGCGTACGGGTATCTAAAAATCAGAATGAATGAATAAACCTCAGTCCATATATAAAGAAAAACCCGATATTACCAAATTTGAAAGGAGACTCACCTTCTTGAGCCGTGAATGGGATTTTGTTGATAATAACTTTCGCGGCGGTTTTGCATCGGATAACGAAGTCGATTGCCATATTTGTAGTAATGCCACGGCGATCCATTCGTTGATCCCGCAAGTAGCAAAATGCTGATGCTCATGACAGCAAACACCGTTTTCAACACTTGAATCTGTAAATAGAAAACAATAATTATCCACTGTTAAGGCTTCAATGCTTCTTCAAGGATTCGTGGTGATGGATTTTTAAAATACCTTATTGAAATTAACTGTATGAAGTTGAACCTTGGTAACCCAAACCACCCTAACTCAAATTTTTCTAAGTCCCTATATCTGAATTTCCGTACAATTGTGATGCATAAAAAACCTCCCTAATTCAAAGGCTCTCACCCTCAAACTTTATCAACTCGAATTTTCTGAGGGCTTTTCTGCTGTTATTTTATTGATACGGGACTGACAGGAAAGAGAAAAGCAATAAAAAAGAAACTTGGGCCAATAAACCCTTGCCTTCAATTTTAGCATCATATCCTTTCAACGTATTTAAGAAGCGATTCAATGCTCAGAATATTACCAATTAAAATTTTTATTAATTCGTCTTTCTTTTCCTCAACAAAAATGCTTGTTTCTCCAACTCAACACCTCTGACTCAGATTCTTTGCTGGGCTTTCGAAAATCAACTTGAAGAGGTTCCACGGTACTATATTTTTTTCAAAAATGTTTCGCTGATGTACTCACGATGTTCATGCTTGGATTTTTCTGAAAAGATCTGGACTTTTTTTTTTCTTGTGTAAGCTTCGTTGAACAGAAGACAATTGTGAGACGTTCGGCTGACTTGGTCCGATTTTTATACTTCTTTGCGACGGGGTCGAAGACATGAGATTATTCTCATTTGCATGTTTCCCTGAAACGTTCTCTTCCACTATGGAATTTTTATTTTTCTCTTCTCTGACAAATCGGAGTGAGTTTTTTGGGATTTCCTGCGAAGTTAGCTGGAAAAAGGAGACATTATATCCTCCTTATACACATCCTTTTTCTGGTGAATCAGAAGTTCAGAACCAAACTCAACAAGATAAGAAGTGTAACCCGGTTTTTTCGGTTTTGAACTTGTTCCTGCATAAAGAATGGGATGTTGCTTCCAGGAGACGAAAGTTCCGGTGTTCGTGTGAGCAATCGCGTGAACGAGTCACTCTTCTGCTTGACGCATCCGCGATTTTTCGTCAATCCATTTCAAACAAGCATTTTTATCTCTCAAAATTCGGAATTTTCGATGACACATTTTTCAAGGAATCGGTATCAAGTGTGTGTCGATGTTCTCAACATTGTGTGGAAGAAAGTGAAGACCGAATTTACCCAAAACTCCCCGTAACGACGAGAAGCGAATTTGAAAGACGGTTTTTGGTAACTTGTAATTATTGTGAAAAATTAGGTCCGTAAAGTTACTACACAATTAACTCTCAGATAATATTTGCATGAGATTTGCGTGTTTTTTTCAGCGAAAAAGGGCTTAATTTATTGCTCAACACACAATTCTGAAAATTGTACTATGCATTAGAATCGGAAATTCAAACTTCAAGGCTTCCGCCGGAACCAGACATTTCTACTTATTTTTCCTATAAACGTTGCGTCGTATTACAAAACGGATGTGTTGAATAAAAAATATCTTTCATTTGGCACCAGTGTCTAAAATGTAATCATCGGGATGAAAATTATCCGGTGGCGTTGTTTGGAATACGAGGGTTCTAACAAAAGTTCTCGGAGTCTACCACAAGCCATCACCGGAGGTGGATGAACATTTTTTTATTGGATTCCTCATCCTTTTTTAACCGAGGAACAATTTTTTTGTCATCCCTAGACAAAAATGGAAACTGGGAAAAAAATTTGAATGAGTTTTTTCTGGTGATGTGCCCACCCATTATAACAGAAGTTCTCGGAATCAACCACAAACCGTCACTGGAGATGGACAGGGATTTTTTTAAAGGATTCCTCACCCTTTTCTGGCCTAGAATTGTTTTTTTTTCATCCCCAGACGAAAATGGAAACGCAAAATAAAAACTTGAATGAGTTGTATCGCATGAAGTGCCCACCCATGACCAAAGAGCAGTTGCGCACATGCATGCTCCTGCACACACTGCTTTGAAAACTCTTGATTTCATTCCAAATTCGGGCATTCAGCTTTTTACTCTTCATTCTTACTCCCCTGATCTTGTTCCCTGAGATTTTTGGTTGTTTCCAACTGTGAAAGAAGGGCTTCAAGGGAAAGTGTTTTTTGTCAATAGGAAAATTTTTTTGACCCAAAAGTTTTTTTTTCATCTTCATGCCAAGAACTTCTGTTAGAATGGGTGGGCACAGCACCAGAAAAAACTCATTCAATTTTTTTCCCCAGTTTCCATTTTTTGTCTAGGGATGAAAAAAAAATTGGTTCTAGATTAAAAAAGGATGAGGAATCCAATAAAAAAAGTTCATCCATTTCCGGTGATGGCTTGTGGTCGACTCCGAGAACTTTTGTTAGAACCCTCGTATGGTGCGGCGGACGAAGAGTTTATTATGTGAAAAATGTTTGAAAGAAAAAAATTTAGGCTGTACCTGTGATGCATTACCGTATCGTTTACATTTTCAAAGTTGTGAAATCGTTACCTATTCAAAAATTTTGGAATGCCAGAAAGGTCGCACATCTGCGGGTTTGCGGAACAGGTCCCATTGGCGCTACTCGCACAAATCTCTGCAATGTTATCGTTGTTTGCTTGTTTTCGAAATCAAGAATTCTGTAGTTCGAAAGATTGTAGCAATTTCCAGATCCCACGAGAATACCATACGGGTTTTTAGCGGTTTATTTTTAAAGCCCTCTGTATTTTCCCATTTTTGATCATGCTTCCTTCTCGTAGTTCCTGTGATGTCGGATTTGCGTTCTAAAAACTGAATCGTATATATTGTAACGGAAGATGAATACTGATAGTGATGGTCCATGCCATATAAGTCGCTTTCCGAGTGATCGATGATATCCTTGGAAATTTTCTGATTCGCTTCCAAGGACAGACAATTTTATTCACTACCCACATAAAATCAGACGCCTTGGCCAAGAATCCATCCACAGTCAATCTTACGCCCCTCTGAAACATTTGAACTACTGAACTGGAATTAAAAAAAAAAAGTGTGTGTGTGACTTATTCACGATTTCAAAAATCATACGTTCGCTTCAATATCTGCGAAAGCCAACGATGAAGGTCACGGTGAGAAAATCTATGCATATTTTGTTCAAGAAAATTTTATCTTTCTTTGTCAGCCTTCGTTTTAATTTTCCATTTGGAATAAAGCATCATAAATATTTCTAGAAAAATCAAAATCTGACATTTCTTTGAGTGTATGAATTCATAAAATATTGCACATGCAACTGTTCTCAAACGGTGAAAGAATCACGTGAGATTGTCCCTCACTTCAATACTTTTCTGCTGAAAAAGGTCTTATATTTATTCCAAGGCTAGAATTTGAGTGCCATGGAGCTGTAAAATAAATGTTTGAAATTGTCTCCCATTATTCTTTGAAAGTGAAACAACAGCAGTCTAAATTTATTTTTTCTCTGATAACAATTGCATGTATTTTCTGGATTAATACATGCACAGAAATCTAGGATATTGAATTTTCAATAACTATGATCCTGTGCTAAAGATATCAAATATTTCAGAATACTGTATAGTAATAATTTTTTGATGCTTTGACGAATGGCCAGGGATGAGTAACATCTGATGAGCAGAGGAATGCCTTGCAAGTGTCGTTTAAAAATGTAAAAAAATGAACTCAAAAATGCCAATAAATTAATGTTGGACAAAAGAGAATCTTTGCAACCGAACTGAAGGCATTTTCCTGCACCGAAATTGTAGAAAAACAATAAGAAATTATTAAAAATTCCTCAAGTTGTATTTGGCCAGTCATCCCTAGTCTTTGACTTGTTGTGCAACATGTCCCGAAACCAAAATATTTTTACAGGCTGTTCTGCTGTTCATGGCTGTCATTTTAGCAGCTTTGATTTCGTCGGCCATGTCAAATCCTTACAGTTACTATCGCAATCAAATACGTGGTAATTCTGGTGGACGCCGGCGTGAACCGTACGCTCTACCAGGTGAACTCAAGGAAGACGTTCCACTGAGGTATTAATTTTCAAATCATGATCATGAAAACAAATTCAAAACTTTATATGAAATTCTAGGTATCCTTATGCGATCGAAAGGCCCGACAAAGACGACCAAACCTTTTTTGTGCCAGTTTGAAATGTCAGCGCGGAAGGACGACTTCATCCCACCATTTTTATTCGGATAAGTGTAAATTTTTCTATATGTGAAAAAAAATCTAAAAGAATTTTCTCACAGAATGTATTCCTTTCCATTTGTTGTTCAGAAAAAAACATCAGAAATTCCACGCATCCGTCGTTCAAATGAAAGCAGCACAAACTTGTGAAATATAATATCGCTTTTCAGGCGTAATTAAGAAGCGTTATCGCGGGACAGGAAGACTTTCAGCGTTTCTCATGATTTTTAGCATTTCGCGATGAAATCAAATATCTAAACGCATTTAAATTTTGAAACGAGAAGTTTCAAAAATCCCATTCGCGTCTACAAAAAAAAAAAGGATCACGCATTCAAAACGAATCGCACTCAAACAGAGGTAGTAACAAACGGCGCAAGATTTTCGCGACGATTTCTGGCACTTTTAATTGTCTCATATTTTAAAACATCCTTCCAAACCTTCCGCACAAACTAAAACAAACAAAAAAACATAGATCCTCGCGTCCACTATCACAGCCCCCGAGTAAAATTTTAACAAAAAAAATCCTGAAAACCACTAAAGTCTGAAAAAAAAACGGCTGAAGAGTAAGAAAATGCGGTGAAATATTTCCATTTGAAGCGGTGTATCAATTCAGAAAAAAGGAGTCCCGGGTTCAGGACTTTGAGCCCGGCTGCGTTTTGCTCTGACTCTGCTTTGCAATGTCAGCAACAAGCCAGACAACACATCGTGATTGTGCAGCTTCTTGCCGAAAATCAGGCGACGAACTGAATCATCGTAGGTCAAAAGTGCAACCATGTTTTGTATCAGGAATCCTTGGCAGTATTCCAACAAATGAACCCCGCTGTACACCTAAAAATAAAATTGCAATCGGCACCATATTCAGAAAACGTCCTAAAATAAAACCGGTAAAACGCAGAATGTTACGAAATGGATTTTGCCAAAGACGCACCTTCGCATGGATATACATGGAAACTATGTTATCCAAGTCCACCATCTTGGAGCATTTAGATTCGCAAAATCGAAGCAGACCGTCCAACTGAAAGAAATTGGCAGCAGCCATCAACTCCAACACGTCATTATGTCCGACGTGGATTTCTTCTCGACCGCCTTGATACAAATACTGCATCACCATCTGCAAATACAAACAAAAGCAATTAACAAATCAATCCACAAATATGAAACATTTTGATTGGCATACGGAACCATTGTATCCTGCATCAGTGTGACACGCCAACAAATATTTTTCTATTTATAGCGAAAATAATTTAACATACCATCCTTAACATGTAGAAAAACTGGAAAAAATATTCCATCGGGAAATCTTCCAGAAAATAATTCTACAGCAAGGGCATACATTTCACTTATGTCCGAATGACTAGATTTCCTAAAATATAATGGCTAATCATCATTTCGTTCTTCGTGGAACTTAAATTTGCAAGCAGCATTACGATAGCAATATAAATCAGAAAAGAGAAAGTACTCTGATGAAGAAAGGCCACATTTGCTCGCTTTCACAATTTAAATTGTCAGATTTCTGCACTATCATCATTCAACCATATCCTGACAAGAGAAATAACTGAAAGAAGTTGAACGGTTTGCGCATTTTTCGATCGTATTCTGTATCACTAACTTATTTTGAAAAATCATATCTGCTCGAGGCGCACCCTGATTTATTTTTTTTACAAGTCGAAATCGGAAAAGCGTGGCGAATATGCTGGTAAATATGACATTGCAACGAAGGTTTGCACAAACCTCAAAAATGTCGTATCGAATGTCATTGATTTGCACGATGGGCGCTTCGACGTCCCCGCTGAACCTGGAGCCGAGCATTTGGCGAAACCGTGGCGAAGCGTTCACCAAAATGATCTTGTGTGCAAAAAACAGACGACCTTCGACACGAAATCGCACGTCGCTCAAATCCGGGCTGTTCACGAACTTCGGATCGATTCTTGCAATCGCATTCTCAAAGGTGTAATCTTTCACTTCTCTGATCGTTTCCCGTCCAAAACACGAGCTGAAAATGTCAGCCAACAACAACGTCGTCCCTTCGTTCTGCTGCAAAAAAACAAAAACAAATAACAAAATTAAATAACAAAATATGAGTCGAACATCAAACATGAAATGGAAACATATCCTTCCTTTTCGAAAGAATCCCCCAAGTCATCGCTGCATAAATCGATTTTTGGTGAGCAAATTTTATTGAAGGGCTCATAAAATGTAACATAAGTAATTGCAGAGCAGAATATTAGACGCTACAATAAATAATATAAGTTACGCGTGCAGATTAATCTGAAATTACCCAAAATGAACCGGGGAATTCTCAAATTAAGCCAAAACCAATGAAAAACTGCAATTGAAGATAAATCATCATCTGAAACGAAATCTTAAAAAAAAAACCATGCCACTTCATATGCTCAGTAAAATAAACTTCAAATTATTATTTTTTTTAACCTTTTATCCCTACTTTTTCGAAATTTTTCTTATACACATGGTTCGAACTTGACCTTACTTGAAGAAAATTAATCATTGAGATATTATTCATTTAGAAGTTTCTTCGTTTAGAAAAACCATGCGAACAATTCGCCATGCAAAGCTCTACTTTTCCGCCTGTACGAATGGCAGAAAAATAATTCGCCTTGTAAATTCAAAAATAATTAGCAGGATTGAGACAAGGATCTCTGCCATGGAATTTCCGCTTTCACAAACCTTGCTGTAACGGAAGATGGAGAACAAAAGTGGCAAACATTCGTCCACAAACTGCGGCGAATAATCGTCCGGCCAGACTTGCAAAAAATCTTGCAAAAGCTGGTCGATTATATTCTCCAGCCTGTGTTCGTGGGCAGCAGCCAAAGTGTGCATCCAGCAGTGCAAAGTCCACGGAATCCCCAAACTCCGCAAATCCAGCGTGATGTCTAAAAAAATAGAATAATATCGTTTTTTATAATACTCAGCAATTTCCGAGAAAGAGCACCCGGAGGAGCATTTCAGCAACAAGAAAAAATCACATCCGCCGTCAATCAACGACCTGCAGTTTTTTTTTTTTTCCGAAGGGCCGAGAAATGAGAAGTCACGCGATCACGGAGTAAGAAATTGCAGTCGTTTCGAAAATAATGATAAAAAATTCGTTAATTTCATTACATGAAGAGAAAATAAATATCAGTATGTCACGACCCATTCACGAACAGGCAAAAACAGCACTTCCTCTCTTAAATTGCTTCATCACAGGGTCTCCGATGCGCGAAATGCCCCCAAAAAAAAGAAAAGAAAAAGAAAGCGAGTCCTCACCGAGGTACTGGCTCTCCGCAGAATGATACATGGCCTCCTGCAAAATCTTCACTTGCGCTTTGGTCAATTTGAGGACTTGGGCACAATCCGACACGCTGTTGCGTCCACTCATCGGGGACCGCGTTTCTTCCTTTGTCGGCGGGATCGTGTGCTGTGCAAAATAACAATAAAAATAACTCAAACTGCACACAAAAAAAATTTAAGAAAGAAAACGTAGAAACGGAAAAAGAAATCGGTCTCATACTTTATTCACGAGATGTGTGACCCTCAAGAAAGAACTATCATTAACCACGCCGATTCGTCGCGGGAAAATTGAAGGGAAGGTAAACTCGCAAAGTCTCGAGGGTCTTTTCTAAAATACATTAGTCACACTAGATTTCTTTTTGTACCCTCTTTTTTTTTTAAAGAAATGGGCTCTTTCTTCTAAAAATGACCTCCACAGTGTTTGTGAACTATCTTTGCAAACGAAAAATAATGGCAGGTAACATAATATTAAAATTGTGATGATAGCTTGATTCATGTTTATTATATTCAATATATTGGGCTGATTGAAGCCCTATTTGGTTTGACTGAAAATGTGAGTTTGCTGGAAACTGGATCGAATTATGCAGATATTCAGCTACAATGTTTCAGGATGGGTTACTGGTTTATTTTATAAATAAAATAAATTATAGTTAGTCATTACGTTAGACCACCGATGAAGATTTCGGTATATTTGGCGAAAGGCTTTATGCTTAGTTATGTTTGCGTAGAATACGATGCATTTCGCATGAAGCTACACACATAATGTTTACAATATTTCAAGTGGCATGTCTTGAAAATTCAAGATGAGAGTATGCAGCAAGAGCGTTCACATAAAAATGAGGATTCTTTCTGCAGATTTTGCAAAATGTTCGATCTATGAAATTTTCAGGCAGAATTTTTACACAAAATTCCAGTAAATTTCCTGAGAAAGTCCATAAAATAATCCTCAACGACGCGTCACAATTTCTTCATCAAGTCCACCCATGGGACGATCACATCACACAACTGCACAAAAACAATAGTTCTGATCAGGTCAATAGCTCGAAGTCGATCAGAGTGAAGTGAAGCAGATCAAATGGAAATTCCGAAGTACAGTACTTTAAACAGATGCACTCTCTGCATTGTTCTCTCTCTCTCGACGATTCGAACTTTAAAAAACCCAAAACGATCCGAGTTCTCCAGTGATAAAAATTCTGACTGACTAGGTGGTTTTACAGCAGTGATTCAGCTGCGTTTCATGGTATATAGTCTCTATATGCTGCACTTCACTCACCAGCAGTCTCGTTTTTCGTTCCAGAGTGCTCTGATTGCTCGAGCCCTCGGCCAAAATCTCTTCCAGTGACAACATTTCCTTCTTCACGCTTCTGTTGAGAGGATGTGAAAGCAATTTGTGCAACGCCATTCGCTGGCCATGCGAAGCAGCCACTGCAATTGCGCTGAAAATCGATTTCCACCATGAAGAATGGCATTTTTAAGAACCCGGCAGTCGCGAGATTATTTTTTCGAACGCCATTTCGCCACCAGTGAAGCGAGTGATTGTATTTTTTTTTTGTAAAAATTTCGTTCGACACGCGTAAATTCACGTGTCGGGACATTTTTTATGAATCATTCCAGCCTCCAATTATCGTTTCATATCCTTCGAAAATATTCCTCGGCAATTTAAAAGTATTTTTTACGTGTTTCTTTTTTCTAACCGAGGCTTTCTAGATACAAACAGACACAAAGCTTTTCGTCTAAATTTAGTTTTCATGCCAACAATAAATACGGTAGGTATTAAACAGGAAAAAAAAAACCAATTCCTCGTGCACGAAATATTCTTTAATCTGGAACTACTTGATGGGCGATCGACTGAGACTAAAAGGGGAATTATTTCTCGATCTTGAAAACAGTTCATCTCCGGACACAACATGTCCCAAGGAAAAGCACCTGATTTTTCTTTCCCTCAATGCATTTTTTACACTTCTACGAGTCTCGATGATACGGCATTTGCATTGTCAAGGTTTATCCTGCTGTACCCAAAATGAAATCGACGAGGTATTGAAGCATTGAAATCGATTTCTACTTGAAAATTTTGTTTCTGTTCTTAAAAAATCGAATGTGAATTTGACTTGAAGCGAGGAACTGAAACTTCGAGAGGATTTTTTATTTTATATGCAGAGAAACCTTTGTGGCTTCCAAAAACATTATAAAATGCGACAGAAGAAATATGATATTTCAATAACTCCCCGCGTGAAGAAACAATAAATTGGAGAATTAAAATTAAATTCTACGGGAAAAATTATTTTCGTTATCTTCAAAAATGGAATTTAACTATGACATCTAGCGTGAAATGGAGACATTATTGAGAAGCCTTCTTTAAAATCTCCATGAATTAAGAGAAACTCTATAGAATGCCAATAATAATAATTGAAAAAAATGATATGAGACAGAGAAAAAAAAGCCGTCGGTAATGGCAAATTTTGGCGTGAAGAAAATAACTTTTCAATTTTACGACTGCATGAATGAATGAATGAATAAATAAATAAATAAATAAATTATAGGGTAAGAAATATAAAATTACCAAGGTGAGCCGCGCTGTGCCGACCCGGAATAGCACAGCGAGTCCTTCATGGTGGTGGCCAGGAATGGGTCGGCGCCACGCGACAACAACAGCGCCACCACCTCAGTGTTGCCATACGCCGTCGCCACTTGCAGCGGCGTCTCCGTGCACCGGTCTTCGTTGGCTCGGGCGCCACCTTCGACACCGGCGCCGTGGTCCAACAGCACTCGCGCCACAGTCACGTCGCCCACCAGTGCAGTGTACGTGAGGGCGGTCCAGTGTTGGGCGTCGGCGTAGGTGCCGTTGGGCGGCGTTTCGGCGTTGACGTCGGCGCCGGCGTCGATCAAGTACCGCACGACGGACTCGTCGTCGTACAGACACGCCAGCATGAGTGGAGTGAATCCGTTTTCGTTGACGGTGTTGACCTTGGTGTTGGGCAGGAGTTGGAGAGCGTGTGGCAACAGGTCAGTGCGACCCGAGGACAGCATGCGGAAGGCCAGCTCGATTTTCAGCTTCTCCGCAGTCTCCAGTTTTTCTTCTCGCCGCGAAGGATACGACCTCTCTTCCGAATTCCTCACGAATCTAGCATTATTCGTTTGAAAAAAAAAAAGATTAAAATATTACATTTCTTTCATACACTGTATTGTGGAGAAAGTGCACTACGGAGAAGAAACCAATCAAGGTTTTTTTCTTTTTTATTATCTAAACTTTCAACCAAGAGTCAGTCTTCCCACAAATTTCATTGAGAAGAATCACTGCTATCATTTTCATTCCTTTTGTCATCTTTACATGCTTTTTTATACCTGTGTTTGGTTTTGGATTTGTGCACAAATTTGTCTTTATTAATAACACTGCCTTTACAACAGCATCAGAAAACTTGCAACAATGTGAAGAAGCAGTATGTCCCAGAAATGAGACCAACAATTTGAGTAGCGTAGTTTAATGCATATCAATTTTATAAATCCCATTCAGCATGCAATTAAAAAATTAACATTGAACAGGTATCACATTTTCTGCTTTCTTCCATGTTGAAAGACATTTTTCAGAAAGTGTTACATTGTGACCCCAAAAGAAATTTAAAAAAAGTGCTCTTAATCATTATGAAATAATTCAACACAAACCCTTTAGCTGAGCATTGAAACAGGGAGACTTTCCATTATTTTTGTGACAGAAAGTAGTTTTTCCAGAAAGAGTTTATTACCTGGTCAATACTAAATTTTGGGGTAACTATTTTTACTGTACTGTATTACTCAATTTATTGCAATAAAAATTTAAAAGGTAATAATGTTTTCATCTGGATTGTTCAACTGAACAAGAAAGACCATGATTCTGAGTAAAACGAACTATAACCAGACGTCCTAATCATTACGTAACATTCAGGCGACATCTAGTTGATTAAAAAGGGAAACATTACGATGACCTCTTTCGTCAAAAAAGGGGAGAACTTAATTATCTTCGATAGTTTTCCGACAACAAAAGAACTCCTCATCAAAATTATTTTCAAAGCGCAATTTGTCACAAAAAAAAATGCAGAATCAAACTCGAAGGAAATATAAATACAGTACTGTACAATTTCCATTCGCGTGACGTAGCCTTGAAATGGTACCAGACGACAAAAAAACAATTTAAAAAAGGGAACTAACCCGGGCATTCTGACAGGGCAATCGACACCAGGCAATAAGAGACGAGCAGTTTGCATGACATCATCTTGATCAACAACTTGCGAAGATCGGTACTCAGCATGCGCTGAGGCCACTCGAACCCACTCAACCACAGGTGGCAAAACTGCAAAGGGCCGCTCCCAGGTCAGTTCCTGCACTGGTGGGCAAAAGGCCACATGTGACACCATCCTATTTTCAGCATGCTTCGCGTGCTCCAGCTAAATATGCAGAAAATATAAAAAATAATAATAAAAGCGCTGATTCAAGGTTGTTTCCTCAACAATTCTATAAAGATTTCATGCATAAAGTGATCATAAAATTTGATAGTTTCGTAATTCAAAATAATGCAGTCTTGAATGCTACATAAGTGATTAATAACTACATTAAATACAATTTTATGTTCTCCAGCATCCAATAATTCATTCGCAATTGTGGAAAATGGAGTAGATATTTTTTCGAGTAGTAAATAAAATATAAGCAGAAATAAAATTAAATAAGATGTGAAACCATCTTATTTTCAGCACGCTTCTCGTGCTCCAACTAAATATGCAAACAAAATAAACGCGTAGATTCAAGGTTTTCCCCCACATAGATTCTGTTATGATTTCATGGACAAAAATATCGTGATTTGATACTTCGGAAATTCAAAATACTGCATCAGTGTGTTGAATGCTACAGAAGTGATTAACGACGGAAAAGGAATTTTCTGCACTCCATCCTTCAATTCATTCGAAATAGATTAAAAATTGTATAAATTCAGTTTAGGGTTGTGGAAGCAGATAATAAATCAAGACACGACTCGAATAACTCTCAAAAATACCACATGAATGCGAAAGTAGAAAATGATTCATAGGGACTCGCAAAATTCCTGAATCACGTGGTTTTCGTGATGGCACAAGATCAAAGAGAGTTTGTAAAGGCACACATTTTCTTCCAGAGTAGACTTTTGAAATTGTTTACAAGCCTTAATCTGTAAATCACTTCAAAGAAAAAAAAGTAAACTACTTCGAAGGAAAAATCCAATCGCTCTTCTGTGGATTAACAGGGAGTTGGTTTATAAAAATAAATTGAATATTGTCAGACGATGGAAATTGACCGGAAACACTGACCTGAGAGCATCGCATGAAATAGAACAAGGCATGAACAGCAGACGGAGACCAGATGACCGCAGCTCCTCGCCCTGTTTTGGCCTGTGCCAAGTGAAAATTCGCCACGCGACACAAAACAGCCTTGAGCTCGTCCAGTGACCCAACACAGGTCGTCAGTAGACTCTGCTCCACAGACCGATGATGACTCGTTCCGTGACCCCCAGTGCTCGTCACTGATGACCCGATCCCCGAGGACGAGCTGCCCGAGGAACTGCCAGTGTTCATGGCCTGGTGATGGTCGTCCATGCTGGCCAAAGTCCTGGCCCAGCTGTCCGACGACGAACTAGGCCAGCGAGGCAGGGCCAGCGCACCTAAAACAAATCGGGTTAAAATTTTCATAGCGTGATTTCATCAGAATTTTCTTTCTCACAATGAGACAATAAAAACAGTCCTAAAGAACGCCTGAAGGCGTCTGCTGCCTCTTAGTTTAAATGTAAATGCAGTACTTATATCTAATTCTTGAGCCCTGCATTTAAAGGGTGAAATAATGTGAACTTGTTTTAAAAGCTCCGGTGTGAGAATAACGGAACTTCACCTGAAGAGCCAAAAAAAAAAAATTGTGGCATCAGTAATCCTGACCTGCCGAGATGTAACCCACTTGAGTGTCACCACATCGTAATTATTAGTATCCTCAACACACTCCGCGTCGAACCAAGAACAGTATTCTTGGTTCACAATTGCTCAGTTCTTCCTCATCATCATCATCATCATAATTTTTCTGCAGCTTTATAGATCAGCTTAGAATAAGGAACATTAACTCGATACTAAAAGCGTACTAAATCCCTATTTATTTTCCATGATTTTTTCATTGCCACAGCTCAATTTGCTACCGAGCTATTTCAAGTCAAAAATCGGTTCACTTTTTTGGCCCACCCTGTACAGTACAAATTTTATTTGACGCTTTTCAGCATTCACCATGTTCGAAAATTTTTCCCACATCCATTCTTCAAACATCCATATGACACATTCAGGCCCATCAAAAATAATTCATAATACAAGTACAGTATAAAAAAGAATATATCAGAGTACATAAAAATGCATGAATCATGAATTGCCATAATTTTTTCCCAAGAATGACAAAAACCACATTACAAGGCAATTACTGAGCAAAAATTAAAGCATAAGGTGTTCAGCCTATTCCCAGATAATTTTGAATTAATCAAACAATTTAGAAATAATATTTGAAGAAGGGTCACGTAAAACTAACACTTTTTCCTGGTCCCCTGTAAGATTTGGGAGGGCATCCTTTTATTGAATTGTGAGAATCTCAAGTGTTTTGAAAGTTCAATTCTTATGGTATGGAATGCTGCGGGATTTTCGGAGTAAAAATGCCTCACAGAATGTGGATAATTTTTTTCGACCTCTAAAAAAGGAAATATTTCACCGTCGTGCTGCATGTTCTAAACCAACAAGCAAAAAATAAAAACAATCTAAATCTTCAGCTTAAATCAACTAACCTGCCGCCGTTCTTCCAGAGCTCAGGTGAGCATAAGGCTGCAGAAGTCCCCAGAAATCAGCATTGGCAGCAATGGCTGCCTCTAGCACAGCAGTTGTCAGCATGGACTCCGGATCATGAGGCATACACTGCGACACGATTTCCTCCAGCAGATTTTCTAATCCTGCTGCTAAATAAATCGCTGCATACCTACGGAAAATTATAAAAAACCCTTTGTATTGCAATTTAGAAAAAAAAATTAAAGCACTTTATGCAGAACCTGAATATTGATGACCAGATCAAACTTCATTAAAAATCCTCGGACTTCCTAAAAATGAACCCACGTGCTGATTCCGAAAAATTGGCAAAATACTTTTTATTCATATCCTTTTGAAACCTTCGCTGAATACTTGAAGTTCACCGTTCTAAATTTTAATCAGCACAGAAAATTTGCAGCCAAAAAATCCTCTAAACCTTGAGAGAAGAACAGGCCTTCTATCACATGCTCTTACAGCTTTCTCAAACCGATTATTTTCATAGTATAAATTAAAGAAACGAGCTTATTTGAATGAAACTGATGAACAATCAAGATAAAACATATTATAATTAAATGGAATATTTATTTCATTCAAACAGAAGCTTCTTGACATGAAATTCCAGCTGGGACAATTGAATACGAAATATTATGAAAACGAAACATCTCATCATGGTTGAATTTACCACGGTTAAATGCATTACATGCTATTCGGCCTCAATTGTCTTGACTTGGGATTCAGAATGATTTTCTGGACTATACGCAAACTTTAAAGTTGATTCCACCATACTTTCTCAAAATACCAGAGCACAATTTCAAGATATTTTACAACTCGCGTATATCCTGAAAACTTACTCATGGATGAATCTTCCGAGACGAACATCAGCCATCCATCTGTGGAAACGACCCACGGACAATTGCAAACCAGCTCTAGAAGACTTGCTCTGCTTCAACTGGTCTCCAGACACTGCATACATGGCTGCAGCTCTCAGACACGCCTGAACCACACAAAAAAGAAGGAAATAACGCTTTAAAATTAAACCTCGAAGGAATAATTTTTCAACGTCCTGAAACTTTGCAAGTGCGTTTAGAATTTACTGCTGCGAAGAAAATCGCCAGTTTTCCAAATTTGGCCAAAGCCACACCTGAAAGATATGACGGAAAAGGTATTGCTGCAATAAGTGTATCTACTAATACGGCAACTTGGAACGAGTCAAATTCCAAGTGCATAAATAGATAAACCATGCCTGATGAAATCCTCTCGAAAGAGACATTTTTTCTCCTGACACTTTTCAAAATTTATGAAAACATTCCTTCAGGAAACGTCAAAACACATGTGGTAAAAAAAAAATTACCAGATAAGAAGGGCTGCGTTAATCAGACACTAGCTGAGGGACCATAAATTCCAAGAAGTTTCAAACTCGACATCAAGGAATAGTTTTGAAGGAATTACTATTATGAGCTCCAAAAAGAGAGCCTTGAACTGCATAAAAGTCGTTCAAAATTCAGTACAGATTCATGACTTTGCTATTATGGCAGTGCATAATTCGTAGTCAAATATCACGACACAGAAAAACGTTTCAATAAAATAATCATTCAGATGATGTTTTCGCCTTATGTGGCGTAGAAACTTCTGCATCACATCTTTTCAAATAAAAGCAGTATAACTTATCATCAAAGTACGGCGAAGAGGGAAGTTATTTCGGGAAATTTGATGAGAAAAACGAAAAGTAATAAACGTTAAAGATAATCAAATACGATGCATTAAAACAAGTTAAGAGTTATTCATAAAAGAGTCATAAATTGTATCAAGGGACAATTAATTTTTGACCGAAGAAAAATTGTACACTAAAATAAATTTTTTACCAATACTTAACAATTTTGGCCGCTTTTGACACCTTCAGAAAAGTCTTTGAAATAATCTAATGAATAAAAATTTTTGCAGGAAAATAGCCAGAATCCGCGCCTTTTTTTTCTTTTCCAATAAAAGGTCTTCTGAATTATTCATGAAAAAGAAGCGTGAAAACGTGCGCAGAGCTGAAGGTTGCATTACTTCGTGAATTAGATAAATTTGAGTTACTGTCAAGAAAAAGGCGCGATTTTTCGAAGGTCAACTGAACGTGAGCGAATTTTCCAATGCCGAGCTTGCATAATGTTTGATTTCCGTTCTTTCCATATGAATATAAGGCATAGCAGCATCACAAGCCATTTTACACAATTCAGGAGAAAAATGTCGGCATTCAGGTGATTCTAGGCCATGATCAGGTGTTGGCAGAACAAATATTTTTTGCAGAAAATTCAGGAAAAATGTCTTCGGCTGCCAAAAAATTAGAAATAAAATTTGGAGGAAATTCGTCCCACATGCGCAAAATTAAAATTCCGATACCTAGGGGAATAATACAACTTATATGACACTTGCTATTTAGAACCCATCAAACTTCTTTAGGAAGCTGTCCTATGTCATGTGTCATGACTCAATATTTTGAGTAAAAGTTTGTATTTCATTCACGATCGTATCCTCTTGAGCTTTGGTTGAACGTACGCCAATTCTCAAAACAAAAATTTCACATATACACGCTGTTGTGAAGAGAATGCACTGAAAAAACCAAGTGAAGGTCTTTCCTCTTGCCATCAAACATATTTAAATTAAAAACAGTCTACATACAACCTTCATTGTGAGGATTATTATTTTCATTTCAATCCTTCTTTATTGTTACTTAATGTATATTTGTGTTTGGATTTGCGCACAAATTCCACTTGTGTATTTTTCAAAGAGCTCCTTGTGAATTGTGTTATTTCTTTGCCATCAAATTACACCATAAATAATTAAAAAAATCTAGTAATTATATAATGTTGGCCAAAAACCAGCTGATTGCTTTGGTTTTTTTTCCACTGCGCTTTTACCATCTGTTCTTTTGTTGGGTCCTGTTAATGCTCAACACACGCTGTGACTAATTGTGGCAATTACCGGGAAACTACCTTTTTTCTTTGTTTTTTTCTGCATGCACAAAGCATAACTTCGGGGAAATAAAATATGGAATCTTTACAAATCTCGTCAGTTTTTGAAGAAAAAAAAAACAAAAACAAACCTTGACGCACGAGTCGGCCAGAGATGAGGACAGAACGACGCGCAACGCAGCGGCAATTTCCTGCTTGGAACACATCCCAAGTGGCTTGGCCAGACGTTGGGCCTCGCGTCCCACTCGCACCAGAACCCGTTGCAGCAAATAACACAGTCTGGGCACTACTTCCGTGAGCACCCGACCCTCGGACGCCGTCGCTGTCGACACTGACGCCGTCGAAGACGCCGCCAGCGAGGGCGACGAGTGCCGACCGCCATCCAGGGTTCCGCCGCTCCCGTGCGACTGCGACTGGTGGCGCCGAACCACTCGCAACACGTCGTGGACTGTCCAAGGCAGCTGCTGAAGCTCCACCAACCTGTGCCAATTTAAAATCAACAATCAGCATAATTATGAATGAATGAACAGAACGCTTTATTTGCCGCTTTTCAGCATTCACAAGGTTCAATCAAGATTTCCACAAACAAACCCCCTGTCCACCCAACCCAAATCCACTCAATTACATTTTAATCACTTCATAGCAGGTAAGCACAAATTTATAACAAAAATAAAAGAAAATACAATACAACATGAAATACAACCGGACATCTGGCATGTATGCATACACTCATTCATTCTCTGACATTGGTAACAAAATATATGGAAAAATTACTTTAAAGCATAAGGTCTTCAGCTTGTTTCTGTTTGAGGTTTAGTTGAATGAACACATTACAAAGAATCTTTGATGAGAAATCATATAAAGCCAACAGTTTATATTGATCCTTTAAGCTTTCAGAAAGGGTCTCTTCATTGAATTCCAGTACTTGTAAATCTTTCTTAAGCTTGTTTCTATCAGTATGAAATGCTGGACATACAAAGATAAGGTGCTCTGGTGATGCACAAACTAATGTATTTATGCTGCAGGTGTTACACCACTTAGACACTTTTGAAAATTGGATGAATTTTTTACTGAAGTGCCATGAATTTGTCAAAATAGCATAATTAGAATCCTCATTTCCTCAAAATTATCAAAACTAAAGTAAACCCAAATTTCCAGGAATTATTCAAGTACTGACTGTCCCACACCTAACCCAATTTTTTTCCTTCCTCCTGATTATGAAACCAGAAAAAGAAGCAAGATTCTCAGATGGAAATTCAATCTTTCATTAATTCTTTGATCCAAGAACTTGTTTTGATATAATACAATGAGTTTTTTAAAGAAAAAATCGACTGAATGTGTTGCACAATATCAATAAAAGCAAAATTCTCAAGTACAAGCTATCTGTAGTTGTTGCGGCGCAAGTTTTGCATTTTACCTCGTGAATTGAGTAATTGACATTAAAATCAACATCCTTGAGTTGCTTCAGAAAATCATTACTTATAAAAAAAAGCGATTCCTCTGAAATTTCTCCGTAGAAAATTGTGAGGTGTGTCCGAGGCTAATTGACCAATTCCTTTTTATGTCCTTTTGAAACTCCCAAATCGAAATCAACCTTGAACCGCGAATCAGCAAAACGATTCAAGCCCTGAAGCATGCAATAATAAAATGTAAATAACATTCCTTTCGACTGTGAATTCCTTCGCGGTCGAATGCAAGAGCTGATTCTTCAAATCACGAAAATCGAGTCTCAATTACCTTCAATTTGATTTTAAAACTGAATGAACTATAGAATATGGTTTAAATACTATATTTTTGACATGGAACGACGGGAATTTACGGTTCTAACCAAAATAAAAGTACACTATTTTAATCGGAACGGAAACCAATTTTTTTATTAGAGAGAACATAATTTTGAGACATGCCGTGTACCGGAATTAAAAAGCGCACGGTCATTTCAAAGAATTAGTAATTTTTCTTCGTTATCTACGTTCTACGAATTCTCCGAGCAGCGAAAATCCGAATTTTCTGCACGTAAATTTTTGGGATAACCTTCATTTCAATTACATATTTATGAACTTTATTGCAGAATGCATCACGTGAGCCGCGAATACATTTCGTTTTGCCGCAGTTTATGCAAAATATATATCCTTGTATCAAAATCGCACGAATGGAATTTTAAAAATGGTCATTCCATAAAAGGCAAATAAATTAATGCCGGAACACACCTCAAATCTTATACGAACAGTTCAGAAAGTACTGCTATCAGAAAGTTACTCAAAGAGAATGAAGCATGATTTGTCTCCCGCTGAAAACATAATTTGAACAAAACCAAAATTGAAATGAAAATCAATGAACAAAAGCTATTCAGAAAATATATAATTTTTCTGAATAAATTTTGTTCATCAATTATCGAGTCTTTTTTGCATGTTTTCTGAGGCATACATTTCTTGTCAAAACTTTCAGCAGTACTCGCGTCGCGTGAAAAAAAATCAGTAGAATGTTCGGACCAAATGCCTTTCAAATTTGCATAATTAATTCGGCCAAAATACCGAAACATTTTTTTTTTCTCTTGATCCAACGAATGTTCAGGACTTACCACCATCAGAAAACTACCGGGGGAAAAAAGCACCCGAGAAGGATCGTAGGTCAACCAGTCGGGCATCGAAACCGATCCCATGAAGGAATCTGGTTTATATAGCCCGAAGGCCTGCCGTATAAAGCCCGCGCTTTGCAATTATCGTCGCGTGTCTGTTTCGGGATTCACTACTACGGAACTTGAATAACGTCCGACTAATTTTATGCCCCGACTCGTTATGAGGTTAATTCTTTCAACAATTTGCCAGGGACTGACCGACTTTTATAAACTTCGGCGAGAATGCTGACCGAAATGAGTTCATCGGGGTTCTCGGGATTTATCATTCTTCGATTCTCTTGAATTCGCCGCGTTTTTTTTGGGTCTGTTCAAGAGGTCGTGGCCATAGTTTCCGACGAAGTAGTTCATAATACAGTTGAACTTGGAGTAACCATAAAAAAAAGCCGAGTCCGAGAGGTTTCCAGTTATAGAAACAAGTATTTTTTAAGAGGGAAAGGAAGAAGAATTACAGGAAATTGTAATTGGTGATATCTGGGTATGCTTCTTAAATGAGTAGGAAGGATGCTAAACTTGTAGGTGTGTGCTCATTTCGCCAATTTATCTTCCTTTCAAAATGTATCAAGTTACATTTTTATTGCTTTTCTCTTTCCTGTGTTAATAAAATGATAGCCTATAGGCCTCCGGAAAATTTGAGTTCTGTAGGTTTGAAAAGGAAAAACCATTGAGCCTGAGTCATGGAGGTTTTTAATGCATTGCTTCTAAGGGAATTCAGACATAACACGACAAAATTGACAATGAGACGTATTCAACTTAATGGTAAAATCAAGAATAAAATTAAAAGAATCCCTGGCAAAAATACTCATGAAGAACACGGTGTCGAGGCAGGCTGGTATAAGATGACCGAGAATTATCCAAGTGAAACCATCACAACGATAAAATAAAATAAAACTTCCAGGCTTCCTCTCTTGAAATTTTTTTTAAATAATTTCGTAACCGTCAAAGCGCAAGCACGCCTTTAAATGTATTTTAAAATCTTCTCAGCGTCAGTGTCCCAAATTTGAAAAACCACACCATGTGACTATAAGTGTCATATATGGTCTTGAAAAGAGGTCCGTCCGTTTGTGCATGGATCTGAATGTGAAGGTTGCTCGAAATAGTCAATTGGCGAGGGAGAATTTGCAAAAATCCAATACATGCGAAACAAAATCCACCGGGAAATGTCATCGTAAAATGTGAAACAAACTTGGTATTGATTGTACGATGGTTTAAAACAGTTCGAATCAAAAGCTTTCCAAGTCGAAGAGTTTAATCTCAAGTTACCGACAAAAAAATTGCTGCAGAATTGCAGATACAGTACATAATAATTGGCTGCTATGTAGAAATGTCGATTTATGCATTTTTTTAAATCAAGTTTTCGAGACAAAAAAACGTTTCTAGAATGAGAAAACGCAGCCTAGACATACTTAGAAGCAAATCTTTAAATTGCTCCGACACCTTTCCCGAATTATTTTTTTTTTTTTTTTCGAAGCTTCCGGGTTGCTCCCGTGGAGCGGGTTTTTTGGGCCGGGTCTCAAGGCACAGCTTGGTTCCTTGTCCAGAAGGACGAGTTCCTTCGGCAGCCTAGGCTCGAACCCCGGGGAATCCCGGCGAGAAACGAATATATTTCATGGCTGCGATTATAATTAACCAGACAGGTCGAACGCCTCCACGCCCTGCCAGTCTTTTCTTCTGGAGAGCTTCAGGGAGCCTGGAGCTGCTGCTTCTCCCATGGCAAGGTGCGCCAGCCGGGGTCTTCTTGCGGTAATTCGAGGGCACCAATTAGGCAAATTGCCCACCGATGCCCTCATTACCATTGCCAAAATAATCGTGTATTTTGCCATGCGAAAGGAGTAGAAGATTCCGATACAGTAAAATCTGAATCACAATACGGACTCCCAGACACCTCATCAAAATTCGTTGCGATTAAAAATTCGTTGAATTGAGATTCATGGGTTTTTTTTTTCTTAGCATGTTGGACTGAAAATTTTGGGGAAACAGGTACCAGGTGCTGTAAATTACTGCCAGAAAATACATGCTAAGAGTTGCCCTCATTTCCAACTTCTTTCAATGATATAATGAAGAGAATTCAAAATCGGAAATATAGTTCTCTTATTTCAGACCTTCTTCTTCTTTCAAATTTTCCTAAAATAAAGCAATCTCACGGAAATGTGAGCTGAAAAAACAGATAATACATGTGCGAGAAGCGCATTTATTCAGTAAGAACTATATGTTGCTTACAAATGACATTTTCTTTTTACAAATTATCAATTTCTAATCCTCAAAATAGTGCTGAATACAACCTGATTTGAGCCTTGCACTTGCTCCTATCTTAATTTTTCTGCACATGAAAATTTGCTTTTATAAATATATTTTCAAGGTTTTTCACTCATGCATAAGTTTGATTTTCCAAAATTGTACCAATCAATGAAATTTGCTGCGGCCTTTGACTGTGATTAGGTGCTTCAACTGTCAGTGAGGCAGAAGCACGTGAAATTTGATAGTGAAACTATGAAAATAATTTGTTCGAGCAGGAAAAGGTGGTCCTCGTGATTACATCAAATTTTAAGCGAATTAGTAGCAATTCTTCCGATTCCATAAAAAAGAAACGTCGAATAAACTCTGTTTAATCCTTTTTTTCGGAATTGCGACTAGCGGTGACACCTACCCACTTCAAGACCACAAACCGTAACGCTGGACAACTGCAAGGGAATTCTCTGCACGGAGCTTAAATTTCTCTTCGAT